AGTTTGAATTGTAATGGATGTGCTCTGGTTTAGTCGCAGTGTCTGGTAAGTGCTTTGGACCCAGTGAAAACAATATCAAAATGTGTTAGGTCTGCTTTATAGTGAGACACTTTGCTGAGCAAACGCAGCTATCTCGTGTAGAAATAACTTTGGAAAAATGAATGTGCCGTTTTAAATTAAGAGTCATCACCAGTCATGTGAAGTATGAAGTTTAAGTGGGGGGGGAAAAACTCCATTGCTAAGATAGTGCAGTTACTATAGTGGTACTGAGGAGAGGCCGTGCAGAACTGTTTTACTAAAAATCAAATCAAATCAAATCACACAGGGCTAACTCCACCTGCGATGCTGCTCCTGTATACAAGACTCGGGCAAATGCTGGCCTGGGAATACCAGCGTGCCAGATAGATCTGAACAAGACTGGATAGCGCAGTGATCTACGCTGGACCTGCCGCCTCTTTGGTGCCGCTGCCAGAACTGAACCAGCACTAGGGAGAAATTGTAGTGAAATAAGCTTAGTGTGATTGAGCCTTAAAGCCTTGAGTACATGAGGTGGTAGAACTTGCTAAAAACATGATTTTCAGCATCAGTTCCCTTTGAAGCAGGAGCGAAACAACAGCTGGGTGCTATGTCTGGATATGTGGGCTTTAGACAGCTGCATTGAGCTCTGGTGAGGGATGGACATTTCACTTGCTTCCTGAAATGGCATTGGATGAATTTGTGCCCGGTCCACGCTAGTATGAAACCATTTTCTTATCAGTTCAGGGAAAACATTCAATATTTCCCAGTGTAGATAGCATCTACCTAATTGATTGTAAGTTAAATGTCAAACCATATGACTTTTGTTACTCTGTAGATGTTTTATACTAACTAGTGTAAAATCTCTAAAAGAGGAGACTGAATGGGTGTGCACAAATGGCTAAATACGACTGATTTTCCTCGGGAAACTTCTCTCAATTCCTATAAATTGTGTACAGTTAAATATTATATATTTCTTACTAAAGAGCAGGTTCCCCTCCAGCACACATCCTAATGAGATTTGATAAGAAATCTAAGATATAACCCATTGCTGCTGTTATCCTTTTTTTTTTTTTTTGTGGTGAATTGAAATACAAAGTTAGAAAAAAGCTATCAAGACTACTGTTTACAGACTGAGAAATTATTGCTTTTATACTACTGGGATCATGAGCCAAGATCCTTCTCTAGATTTTCTTTTTCAACTGTTTTCTTTGCTTTAAATCATAAATCTTGTGTGGATGAAGGTCAAGAGTTCACCACCTACCTTTCTCTGCATAAAGAAAAATGTACAATGCCTCCCTCCTGTGTTGCCCATCATTTTTTTTTTGTATCATTTTAGCAATTTTAACTGTTCAAAAATTGCATTTATATTTTGCAAGCGTTATGTTAAATCATGTTTTCCTTTTATTTTAACCTTTATTAATATAAAAGGATTTTTTTGTTGTATCTACAGCCTTACCTGAACTTTCTCTTGATTATTCATTGTAATTTATGACTGTGGAAGATATGTATGCTTCGGCCGTCTACGGAATTAAGTGACACAACTGCAAGCAATCTGCTTTAAACTGGATGGGTTTATAATTTATATAAAGGTCAGTTTCGTTATAAATTATCCTTGCTGCCTTTTTTTTTTTCTTCTTTTTCTCATCCAGATCTTTGGGAGTAGATGAAGTACCAGTCTGTGCAGCTTCACTTTATACGGTTGCTGTCCTGGTGAACTCGAGCCAGATGCTTCCTTTCTTTGTGAGTAGGGGAGCAAAAGCTGCCTGGAAAACAGGGCTGCGGGGCAGGACAAAGTGCTTCATGCTGACCTCTGTATTTTCATGCAAACCAAAGACGTTGGTTGCTGGCAGGAGCAGAGAGGAGAAACGGTTATTCTTATGGCTGATTGATGCATAAATTAATATTGAACTACTTCTAGATTACCTACTTGCCAAGCTTTCGGATGCAATAGAGGCTTGTAGTAAGCAGGGATCTGGAAATATGACTTGGAATAAGCCTAGCCCCTTTGGCGGGCTTGGACAAGACTATATGTAGTGGCCTGTATCCCTGGCCTCTCTGCAGTTGGCAGGCTCTGTGCTCCCTTGCCCATTCCAACACCAGATTCTGGAGCAATAGACTTGTCTTCTCAAGCTGCCTCTTGCACTGCTTCCAGCCTTCCTCTGCCCAGAAGGGGATGACCTAAGTAACTCCCTTCTATTGTGGAACGTAATCTCCAGATTGCTCTCTCTTGCTTCCAAGTGTAGTGTGGATTTATTGTCGAAATTCTGTTGAAGGGTTTCCAGATCTTAATGACGGTCTTGCCAAAAGCGGCATCAGCACCTCCGTCTCCTCCCTCTGGCTCCAGCTCAACCCTGACCTGTGAGCAGTGCTGTGTCTGGTGGGTTGCTACCCTCTGCCCGTTGGGGCACGGGCACCCTGATGATCGTGCTCATCTGTTGCAGCTTCTTGACCTTAAATGTTTGTGTCACGTTTGAAATGGAAACCCACTGACCAGAACGCACCACGTGCCCGTTCTTAGCTCAGCTGCCCTAGGGTGTTTGGATGGCAACATAGAAATGCGTTACCAAACGCTAGTCTCCGTTTATCTCCTTGGTTGTGTAGTATCTCCAGGTGCTCACCTGGTTACAGCTGGACGGACTCGGGGCCGCAGTAACCAGTAAAGCTGGTAGGGGAGTTTTATAACGGCAGAGAAAGGTCCCTGAACGATGTGCATGCTCAAGGTAAACCGCGATTACCTAGAGAGCAGGGGCTGTTGCTGCTGCTTGGTCTATTCTGGTTTTTAGGGAATAGAGGCTTATTGTTTGCATGTCCCGTAAATACTTAACCTCAACAGCAGCTAGGTGCAGAGCTGCTCAGTCGTTGTTCTAAGGGGGGGTTCTTGCTTAGGGGGAAAGGACCAGCGGGAGACCATTGTAAGCACTGGTGCAAGCAGTGCGTGGGCGAAGGGAAGAGTGCCATTAACTGCTGCGGCCCGCTCTCTCCGTCCGCGATCCTCGCTGGCCCCAACGCTGCGCAGATGCCGAAGGGTTGACTCTCAGCTCGGCGATCTGGTGGCCGCAGGACCACGTGGGAGGCGGGTGTCCCCTCTAGCCGGGTGCTGCTGCCGCCTCCCTGCACCGCGGAGCGGGCTTGCAGCCTGCTGCTCGCTTGTCGTGCTCGCCCCGCAGCGGAGAGGCTGCTGGGGCGGAGGTTCCCGGGGGGGCGGGGGCGGGGGC